AACCGCTACCTGAGAGGCACTACTAGCCCCTCCCCCATCAGAGTGTCGGAGCAGGATGAGTCAGTGCAACGTCAATAAAATGAGAGAGAGGGTGGGGGCGATTGCTGCATTGGGGTGGGGGGTGTTTTATGGGTAGAGTAGTTTATTTTTCCTGTAATACTTCATTACAGTTTTTTAAGACAAAGTTAACTGAAAGGTGCGTTGAGCAGAGTTACAACCAGGGATTACAAATATTTTTTTTCTTCTGCAGTTTGACGCCCCCTCCAGCAGATGGCGCTCTAGGCGACCGCCTAGTTCGCCTATGCCAAGAGCCGACTCTGGGTTAAAGTCTCCTCTAAGAACATTACTTGAGTGAAAGTCTTAAAGTGTCTGATTTATTTTGTACTTAAGTATCAAAAGTAAATTTCTGACATAAAAATACTTAAGTAATAAAAGTAAAAGTACTGAGTAAAACTGAACAGTTAGATTTTCCAAAATGCATTTATTGGGAGGTGACTTCTCAAAAAAATATTTTTTCTAAAGGTGTGCAGCTGTGATGGATTATGTACAAACTAAATACAGTATCAGAATGACATACTTCTCATCCAACCACATTAAAATTCACTCTGTCCAGGAGCCACAAATTTTCAGGATAGTATTTTTTTAAACAATAACAAATCGAAATGAAATAGGAGAAACAACTTTCTACTTCTTACCTTTTTTAAAAATGTAAGGAGTAAAAAGTACAGATAACTATGTAAAAATGTAAGGAGTAGAAGTAAAAATAGGCTGAAAAATAATTACTCAAGTAAAGTACAGATACCAAAATTTCTACTTAAGTACAGTAACAAAGTATTTGTACTTAGTTACATTATAACTCTGAGAAAAACACAGACATATTGAAATTTTTAGGTGAGTTTTCAACGAACTTCCTTTGCCTAATCCAGTCTTAGGTAAAAACCTTCCTACTGAGTGGATGAGTGCTCAGTTTGCATCAAACTGAGTCTTTGAGACAAATGTTTTATTTTCTGGCAGATATGTGTGGTTCTCAGGAGTTTATTGTGTTACATGTTGTTTGTGAAACTAAAGTCAGTCCTCYTGATTTCACAMTCGGGCCTCCCAGCTGTGACGTCAGATAAATGTCCATATTGATTTCTCTTACGTAATAAAATAGCCCAATCTATTTATTTCATCAGTCAAGCTCCTATTTAGAGTCATGGAATTACACTAAAAATATAAATCTAGCTGTGTTCTCAGTTCTTATTGTCAGGGAATCTCCAAAAACTGCAAAAAGGCCTCAAACTTAGCCTGACATTTAAAGTGGACCTGTTATGCAACAGTCACTAACCAGTTGGCATGGTCCCACATTTACCACAAACACACCTATAATGAAGTTGATATGAGTTGTAAGTTCATTTGATGAGAAACTAAGTTTCTTTTATGTCAAATGTAACTAATTTGATAATAAATATAATAAATTTGATAGCAAAAATTGCGTTTTCCATTGCAAATATGACTATTTTTGCTATCAAGTATAATGT